ATGGCAAAGACGACGCAGACGAATGGATGATGAATTCTGTACAGACGAAGCTACATCAACAGCTGACCCAATGAAGAAATATCGTGTTGAAGGTGTTGAAGTGTACAAATTAATTGTAGACACCCTAGTTAACAGCACTGAATAAAGATTTAAAAGGATCTGCAGTGCCTAGATAGTTTGCTGACCTGTTCCTTCTTCATCCAAGAAACTTTGGTGAAGTCCCATCAGAGGCTATGGAAGAGCTGAAAAAGTATTTACTGAAATTTGACGATAGCGTCACCGCTGAAGGGCTGCGAACAGAATCACAAAGCCTTGGAGAACAATGGAAATCACTGAAGCAGTCAGTTGCAGACCACTATGAGGTGAAAGAGGTCAAGAAACTACCCGGCTGCCTTCCCAGAAAGAACAGGAAATACGAGGGTGGCCCACTGAACAATCCAGTAACATATCGGACAAATGTTGCAGGTTCCCCAAATTCCAGTTTCTCAACTTCTCGAGGCAGAAACTTAAGAGCCTTAGTTGATTCAGGGGTAGAAGTAAGTTTGATAAAGAGGAAGACATTTGATCCACTTTGTAACAAAGGTTTACTGAAGAAAAAGAGTAAATTTACAGTCAGTGGGCAAAATTTATTGAAAGTTGATGGACGTGCAGATATTTTTTTCTCCATAGGTGGTGTAAAAACGACCCATTCTTTCTATGTTGTTGAGGAGATGAATAGAAATGTAATCTTCGGATGAGACTGGTTCGTGGACAACAGCGTGAGGCTGTATTTTGACCGTAAAAAGTTACAGGTTAAAGGTACCTGCGTAGATTCGGAGGAAGATGTTCACATTGCATCCTTGTTAAGACTCCGACACGATGTGCTTAAACCACACACCACCAATGGTAACTGCACAAATAAGGGTACAACCATTATATTTGGAACCAGATAGATCTAGTGTCTTACAAATACTTCCCCCTTACCAAGGTATAATTAGCAACACTCCTGGGATTGTACTGGGTGCAGCAGTAGTCAAACTGCCTAAGATAACGAAGAACGATATGTGTCAGTTATGATAGCAAACAACATAAACAAAACTATTTAAAGGTTACAAAGAAGCTGTGCAATTGGCAGGATAGAAAGGGTGATAAGTGAAAACGTGGTAGACTATAAGAGTCTAAAAGGAGCGATCAGTTTGAAGATGGACTAGAGACCGACTTGCATTGTCTTTCAGAACATAGGATTAGGATGGGTAAGAGAGCTGGTACGAAGAAACAAGGACATATAATTCGCCTTCTCCAAGACACAGGTGATAGCCCCCCCCCCCCAATCAGACTCAAACCATACCACACGCCACTCAAGAATAGGGATTTAGTACTAATAGTAGAGAAAGCGATGGAAGACATGTTACAAGCAAAGATAATTGAAAGGTGGTTGTAAAGAAAATTGTAAAAAGTGAGTAGAGTAGAAGGGGTAATCCCATAGAATATTTCCTACAATTTTCAGCAGGGAGAAAGTTGCAAGTGTGCAAGCATAGCATATGTTTTGCTCTACCTTCGGCATATCGGAAAGAACGGTTGGTGCTTGGCTGCTCTGTGGTCCGTGGTGGGGACAAGCCAACCTAG